GTCAACCATGGTTTGAGTTCTAGATCAGGCAGCTTAAAACTCACTCTGGCCATGTGGGCGTGCGTGCCCAAAACCCTGAGAGGAGAATGGAGGAGAAGGGATTGTGGTGTGGCTATTGCCCCTGGGGGGTGATTCTCACTTTCTGTCTCTCCGTTTCTCTCTGTCCAGCAAGCACATGTGCCCTATAGCAAAAAAAATCTTTCTCTCTCTCTCTCTCTCTAAAAAAATCTCTCTCTCTCTCTCTAATAAATGTTATGGTTAAAATGCAGAACCATAAACATTTATTATCTGGCTTGACAATAAAGGAAAATGGACATAACAAATTTCTAAAATTGGTGTGAACTGTAAAGCTTCTGTAGCCTTCTGCCACTAGACTGAACTGGAAGTGAATCTAAATAGAGCTTTTTAATTTTTCTGGTTCTAACATTGAACTCTAACATTGAACACAGAACATAAGATTCTGAAACTTCCTTTAAATATACTCAAGGTAAAATAATAGAAACTTATTTCATAAATATTTATGGATAGAGATAGTTCAGAAATCAACCCTTTCAGGGAAAATAAAAGCCTGCACTTGAAACCTTGTGGAAATTAATATTAAATCTCAGTCTTGATTGCAAAGCCTCCTCTTCCTTCTCTCCTTCCTCTCCTTTTCCTTTAGAAGCAAGAGAAGGAAAAGGGAAATAGTCTTTTGTTTATTATGAATGTCTTGTTTGTTATCAAAGGTATGCTTCTAAGCTCTCTTAAGCAGTAGGCTTAGAAAGCATAAAGAATGCAAAAATTATCTTGAAAGAATTTAACACTTGATTGACCTTATAATTCTGATATACAATGATCTCTCCCAGTTAAGGTATCGCCTTCCCATGAAGTTATAGTTCTTACTTGCTTTGCTTTCTTGGTAAAGAGATTCCCTATCAGGTCATAGATCTAATATTCTGGATTTTATATGGAAGTATAAAATATTTTCAGTAGGAATCAAAAGAAATTGAACTGAAGCCTAAGGCACAAACACTACTGTAAACAGAACTCTGAAAATCTGTATTTTCAGTGATACCCTTTTAGAATCTTGATACTGCTAGTTTAAGGATGATTGCTCTTCTGGATGCTTTCAGTTGTTAAAAGAGCTTACAAACAAAAAAATAATGATTAGATTACATACCCAGGGAACGCATTCTAGGTGTTTCCTTACTCCACACAGCCCACATAGGATAGTTTATTAACTGTCAGCCTGTCCAAAACTACCTGATGAAACTGTACTTTAATTTTTGGCATTTTGAAGTGACTCCTAATTTTTTTTTCAATACCTGTGTCACCAAATAAACTTTAATCCAGGGAACCAGCAGTTACTGTAATGGCTATGCCTGTGTCACCAAACAAACTTTAATCCAAATCACATACTCAAAAGTGAAACATAAATGGGTAACTTTCGAGGCAGTAGGTAGCGTGGAGGTTAAGGTGGCTGGACCCCACATGGCCAACTCGCAGTCTAAAATCCCAAGAGGAGAAAGGAGGAGAAGGGATTGCCTTATAGCCACCCCCACCCCACACAGGGGAGAAGTGCTCTCTTACTTCCCCTCATCTTACTCTCCCACCCTTTCTCTGGCTAGCATATGTGCCTTATAGAAAAAAAAAAAAAGAAATAAAATATTGAGTTGTCAGAATATTTTTGACTTTTTTTTTTTTTTTGAGAGGTTTTTGCTATAGGGTGCATGTGCTCACCAGAAAGACAGAGACAGAGAGACAGAAGTGAGAAATCACCCACTGGGGGGATGGCCATGCCACAATCCCTTCTCCGCCATTCTCCTCTCAGGATCTTGGGAATGCACGCACATGCACCCAGTGTGAGTTTAAGCCACCAGGTCTGGGTCTTGAACTGCGGTCGACTACATGGGAGTCCAGCGACATAGCCATTATGCCATCTGCTGGTCCCAATGACATATTGTTTTTTTATGCAAAAATGCGTTGTGACTTTTCCGATAACCCAATAAATGGGAAACTCATTGACCAAGGTCCATCTGAGATCTCAACTGACCCACTTTTTGGATAAGATTAATTACAAAATTAGAAGAAATTAAAAAGACATGTGACAAAAGGGATAAGGTCATATTCAACACATGCATTCACACAAAACACTCCAACAGAATACTAGTCAAAAACAGAACGAAAAGAACCCCCTTTCCCCCAGCAGCTTTCATTTGCTGTGTCATCTGCTCTGACACCTTACAGTGACCTGACAGCTGACCAGGAGAATTTTAAAGGACAAGATCTGTCCTAAAGGAAAAGTGATCATATCCATTCCTGGTGGGCATATAAATTCTGGCATCTCCCCCTGATACTACAGGAGACTTGAAACAAAAGGAATACTGGCTGGACTGAATTCTGGGAGGGTAGCTAACTTATTTTTCATCACTAAAATTTGGAGGTTACTGTTGTTTTACCAGAAAACCAGATTTATTATTTGGAGGGCATACTCAATTTTAGAAAGTGCTACATATATTTAAAAAGCAAATTAACACACTGAAATGAGAGAAAGAGGTTTTACAATGGAAAACATCTTTTCATCACTTACATGAATAATAATAAAGTATAGCTCAGTGAGAAAAACAGATGACTTCGTGAGTAGAAATAACCCCATCTGGTAGAGTGATGTCTTATTTCCCCGCTTGGTGCAGCTGTGATAGAAAGACGATACGGGACCTTGGGCTAACTCGTCACCTAATTTTATCTCCTAGCTGGAATTGCCGTGATGACATGATTATTAATAGTGAATGCTTGAGGGTGCCAGCAGCGGGCTGGGCGCTGGTTGGCAGATGGGCCTGGGCGGCACAGGGACGAATGGGCTGAGATGCTTTCCCTGTGAGGCATCAGCTACCTGGGGCAGCTGTCCACAAAAAGACCTGGGCAGACTGAACCCAGCACCAGGTTAGCTTGGACGCCACCTGCAATTTGCGTTCATGTTACCAAGTCCACCTGCTCAGGTTGTTCTAGTCCCTTTTATCTCACGAAAGATAATAGGCATGAAAGGGACAAACAAAGGAGGTCTCCCCAGGAGGCTGGCGAAGCGACTTTCTTTAAAATCATGTGTGATGGCATGAGTAGGTGTTTTGCTGTGAGCCAAGGAAGATGGCAGAGCAAGGATGAAACCAGGGGGGAAATCCACTATCAAGGGGAAACGGGCTCTTTGAAGAGGTGCCTAGTGTCGGCCACTGGTATGTAGCTTTGTGGCTGGATCTCACAGAGCTGACTGTGAGGGTCGCGTTCCGGCCTGACAGCAAGAGGCATACAATGGGGATGCGTGTGTGTGCACGCAAATCCCTGATGAGAGTGGAGAGGGGATTGTGGCATGGCCATCCCCTCTGGAGGGTGCTTGGTTATTATCCCTCTCTTCCTAACTCTCTTTTTCCCGTGAGCACACACACCTAATAGCAAAATTTTAAAAAAGGTGCCTGAAGACAAGGAAGGAATGTCTGTGTATTGCCTAGTCCCAACAACAACCAAATAAAAAAAGCATAAAAGAGCTGGATATGAGAGATGAAAGAAACGGTTCAGAGGCTGTGACGTCAGGAGGAAGCACTCCCTTCCTAAGATCTGGCTAGGCTAGCTCACAAGGGACACATGATAAGAACTGAACAGAGGAAATACGAGCAGTCTACAGCACTTATGTGTGCGTGTGTGGAGGGGGTTATTTCCAGCAATTTTGTACAAAAGCGTATATAAGTGTGCAATATTCTCTAGGGGAGGTCCACTGTTTTCCAATTCTTACTCTGCTCGATGGTAAAACTCCATGGAGGCAGAAACCATGGCTGTCATCTAGTTCTGGCTTCTAGAAGAGTCCCTGTAATAGCAGGGACTATTCGCACTGAATAGGATTCAATACGTGGGGATTTCAGAAAGGTCATGTAAAATGTGAAAAATGATAAAACTAGGCATGGGGTTCAAAATTTTTTTGTGCAAAAATAAAGTCATACTTTAATTCCATTTGTCTGTGAATGTTTTGAAGTCTCCTAATACATGTAGCAGAATGAAACCAGGAGTGACCTGGGGTCTGTGCCCAAGAAAGTTTAAGAATCATTGGATTAGAATGAGAATTCTCCATAGAATTAATGTGCCAAGAGTCAGAACTTAAGAATAGGTTAAGAAAAGCTTTAAATTTGACAAAAATGAAACTGGTAAAATTGAAGGTAGAGCTGTAAGCATTTAGAAATACAGTAGATGGAGCAACAGGTGGTGTGGTGGTTAAGGTAACAGACTCCCGCATAGCTGACTGTGGTTTGAGTCCTGTACCTGGCAGCTTGTTTTCTCACTCACTCTCTAGGGAGCACACATGCTCTATAGCAAATTAAAAATAATAATAACAAATTAAATAAAAAATTCTTTTTAAAAAAAGTACATGAAACACACATAGATCAATGGAAAATGATGCTTATAGCACACTGAATGGAAGCTGGAATTGGAGGCCAGAGAAACCAGTTCTTCGCCCTAAGACGACAAATGGGAGGCCTGAACCTAATGGAACTCGATGACACATAAGAGAGCTAGAGATGTTTTTTTTTCATTGTTTACTTAAAAGGAAACACAAAACTCAGACAATAAGTTGGGCTTAGTATTGACGTTCATTTGAAAACTAGTGAGATAACCCATTTAGATCCACTGAAACTCCCTACCTAAAAATTCCAATCACTTTAAAAACATATCAAATCATGGAAAATCAAACCAGCAGCCTGAACTTTGTTTGCTTTCTCTTAATGAAAAACCAAAAGAGAAATCCATGCTGCTTAAAGTGTATCGTCACAGGTAAAATAAAATAATTTGAAGAGCACAGTAATGGCGTTCTTACGATTTCCCAAGGAATCTGTAAGTCTTGGTATCTGCCTTTCAAACCAGTCCTGTTCCTTATCTCATTATCCCGTATTGACAGCTGATGGCATTTCACACATAACGTGCGCTCGAGAGTTTATGAATAGCTCTGTCAGTCTCCCTCTTCCTTGTTGGCTACTCACCTCAAAATGCCGGGTGTGTCTGTCATCTTTTTCATTTTCTTTGCTATAAATGATAGCAACAACAAGAAAATATCATTAAATGTCCATTTGTTTTAGAACAATACTTTCTAATCCACTGGCATTATGATTTCCTTGTATTTATTTTATTTGTTTATTTTTGAGAGATTTTTGCTATAGGTTCACATGCTCACTGGAGAGAGAGAGAGAGAGAAAGCAAGAAATCATCACTCAGGAAGGGATGGCCATGCCACAATCCCTTCTCTACTCTCCTCTTGGGATTTTGGGCATGCACACATGTACACACGCCTGGCCTGAGTTTCAAGCTGCCAGGTCTGGTACTCGAACCGTGGTTGACCATGTGGGAGTCCAGAGCCCCAACCACCATAACACCTGCTGGCCCCTAATTTCATTTATTTTTAAGTATTAGGCTGAGTATCTCTATACCTAATTTTTATAAAAACAAAACAAAAAAACTTAAACAAAATAAAACTAAAAAATACAAGCCACCATGAATATGTTATTTGCCTTTAGTAGCCCTATGGTAGATGATGTTCTGTTCTAAGAATTTTCTGTGCTATAAAATACTGTAGGTAAACATATGATCCTTTAATTCTATTCTTTTACATTGTTCAACGCACCTTGTATTAAATGGAAGAAAAAAGAAAACGTCTGCACATCCTTGAGAACAGTATGTGGAGAAAATTCCAAAATTACCTTTCATCAGATATCAGTTCAACATTGTCAGGTCCAGTCCTCCCAGGAGACCATGCCGAATTAAGACTTTCCATATTCTGTCAACAGAACAATTTTTGATTGCTCAATAGCAATAGTAAAAAGTATACAGTGCAGACCTTCCTTTATTTACAACAGAAACATCACATACTATGCAGATAGGAACGCAAGTGTTCAGTGTGGTATATACTGCTTGCAGAACGATATACTGTATATCGAATGTTCTCATCCCTTTAACCAAGGTCTGTCTTAGCATCATAGAAATGGTCACTGTACCCGATCATGTCTTTGTTAGGTATGATCTACATTTCATAGGTAAGCTTAGGGAAACCCAGACTGTCAAAGAGTTAGCATGGCTTCTAATTAGCATTGAGGAATTTGACCTTGAATCCAACTGGAAACTGGTACAACACGTACTGCTTATTCACCTGAATCATTTCACATTAACAATATGGAGGGCAGCAGGTGGTACAGCAGTTGCAGTGCTGGACTCCCACATGGCCAACCAGGGTTTAAGCCCTGGATCTGGTGGCTTGATATTCATGCTGGAGGCATGTGTGTAGATGCCCAAAGTCCCAGGAGGAGAATGGAGAAGGGCTAGCTGCATTGTCATTCCCCCTGTAGGGGTGTGTGTGACTTCTCACTTTCCTTCTGTCTCTGGTGAATGCTTGTGACCTATGGCAAAAATCTAAAAAAAAAGAGGCCTCTATAAAACGGCTCCCCTTAAACCAAAGTATAATTGCTCATATTACCTGAGCGTGACTTTACTAATAGAGAGGGATATATCCATGACAAAGAATCTTTTCTCTCACCGGTAATCTTCAATAGATTATCAAAATCTTTAGTGTGAGATCTAGTGCAATAGTATTAGGTTGTCCTAAGCTCTGAATCATACATTCCCAGGAAAAGCACAATCCTCTAGCTTTAGACCATTTCAGAACAGTGTCAATGACATGACAGTCGTAAGCAAATGGTATTTCAGAAGAAATAAGCACTTTCTGATTAAGGTTAAGAAATAATATTTAGATAGAAGAGGAAAGAACAGAAAATAAACCCTAGTAACATTATATAATTGTAGAGATACTTCAGGTAAAAGATGTCAGGAAACTGTTCCAAACAGGACGAATCAAAATACAGTTAATTTATGTTTTTAGAATTATAGGTAAATTATGTTACACAATGGAAAGCCTTGCAGAAACGGCTGTGAGGTGTGAGGAAGTGTAGCTGACATTCATGGCTAAAACAGGCATTAACTTCTTTCCCCTCTGCAGTTTTAAAAATATTTGATCCATATATTTAAGAACTCTCGGGACTAGCAATTAGCGTAATGGCTATGTTGCTGGACTCCCATGTAGTTGACCGTGGTTCACGTCCCGGACCCGGTGGCTTAAAACTCACGCCGGGCGCTTGTGCATGTGTGCCCAAGATCCCGAGAGGAGAATGGAGGAGAAGGGATTGCAATGTGACCATCCCCCCTGGGGGGTGATTTCTCACTTTCTGTCTCTCTGTCTCTCTCTCTCTCTGTCTGGCAAGCACATGTGCCCTATAGCAAAACACTCTCAAAAAAAAAAAAAAAAACTCTCCAAGGATCTGAGTATTTATATATATTAATTCTCAAGGGTGGCTTTCTTTTTTTTCCTTTTACAATTATTAATTTAATCTTTATTATTATTATTATTATTATTTAATTTGATGAGAGAGAGAGAGAGAGAGAAAGTGAGAAAGAAAGCCACCTGGTCTGGGACTCGAACCTCAGTCAGCTATATGAGAATCCAGTGCTACCTGCCAGCCCCTCAAAGTGTGACTCAATATTGCTCAATCCTCCTCTACAAAGCTTAACAATAATTCCAATTGTCATGCAGTTTCTTCACACATTTGTCTTGAATATTCATGGCCTGGTTTCACTAAAACAGATGCAAGCTCACTGTGTATCTTTGCTAAGGTAGTGAGGCAGAAACGGGGAACATTCTTTGAATGTGTTAGAAAGGCAAGTACTTTGGGTTTTGCAGAATGAAAGGAAGGAGTAGTAAGTATCTGTGAGTACAGTAACAAGACGAACCTCCATGGGTACCTAGTGTTTAGTAAATTCTCATTTCCATCCTACCTTTAGGGTTAGGGAGGAAAGAAGTCAATCAGTAATTCCCCCACTTCATTGGGATGGGGGAGGGACCTGTAAGAAGTCAAAGTAACACGGAAGCACAGAGCACTCCCATCCCCTTTGCTAGTGGACTTCCCAACAGCACTCACCTACTGAGAAAATATTGACTCAAGGTTTTTCGAAGGTTTGGAACTGCTTTATGTCCCAAACACATTTCTAGGTGTGTTAAAATAGTTCATTAATGTTTTCATTTAGTAGAGGTTGAAGTAACAGAATTTTTATAGAAATGTTTTATTGTATTAACTTTTATTGAAATTCCTCTTCTAAACTTAGAATCTTTAAAAGGTAATAGATAATTTTAAAAAATAACAAAAAACAATTATGACTTTCAGTGTAATGTAATGAAACTCCTTCTTACAATGCAGGTTTGTTTTTTCCCTCTTTTTTAAAGGTTTTTGCTATAGGGCGCATGTGCATTCACCAGAGAGAGAGAGAGAGAGAGAGTAAGAGGGAAAGTGAGAAATCACCCCCCCAAAGGGGCATGGCCATGCCACAATCCCTTCTCCACTCTCCTGGCATTTTGGACATGCATATATACACGCCTTATGTGAATTTCAAGCTGCTAGGTCTGGAACTCGAACCACAGTAGGCCACGTGGGAGTCCAGCACTTTAATCACTACGCTACATGTTGGTCCCTGTAGGTTTTTTTTTTTTTAACCAGATAAAACTTGGTTTATAATTCATAACATCCTGACTCATATACATTCTACTAGTGACTTTGGAAATCCAGATTCACTATGACATAATTTATTTGATACATTTTGGT